GCGGCGGACGACCTGGTCCAACGAATCGTGGTGGTCGCCCATTGTGGCTGCATGGGACACCGTGGCCACTCGGCACTGGTGGCCTCGATCAAGTGCCTATTCTACCTCGACCACCTCGCCGACCGAGCGGCGGAATTCCTCCGCGGATATTTCTGTGTCCTCATGTGAAAGGGGGAAGGGTGGTCCACAGACCGTATGCACCACCCAGATGGCACGCAAAGGAAGGCAACGAAGGAATTCATTTCGACTACCTATACATGGGCGAGGCCTACAGTGGCGCCAAGTATGTACTGGTGTTGAAGGACGACCTTACACACTACTGCGAGCTGGTGGCCTGTGATGGCCCCACGAGTCAAGTGTGCGTGGATGCATTGGTGGACTGGACGAAGCGATTTGGGATACCACGAGTCTGGGTCAGTGACCAAGGCACCCACATCAAGAACATGGCGAATGAAGGCGTTGGCGCACAGGTTGAAGGTGCACCACGACCTCACACTGGCCAATTGTCCATGGCGGAACAGCACAGTGGAACGTATGGATCGCGACATCCTCCAAGTCATACGCGTGATGCTACGGGACTACCAGTTGGACGAGAAGGAATGGGACTAATCCTACCGATGGTGCAGTCCAACCTCAACCAGATTCCGGCAGTGTCATTAGTCACGTCGTTCTGGTGGGCGTGAACAAGGATCTCTGCGAAGTCAAGTGGCAACACAAGGACATCCAGAAAAACCTCGACGAACTACGAACAAGTTTGCATACGATGCACAAAGAAGTTCTGAATCGCAACGAGCAATGCCATAGAAGACTTCGAGGCCTGCAACGTGACCGAAGGTGACTACGTGTTATGGTCAAGGGTGGACGAGCGCTACCACCCCAAGCTACTCGTCACCTGGGTCGGTCCGTACCGCGTCAAGTCAAGTGGGCGAATTCTCCGTGATGTTAGAACATCTGGTGACACATGAAGAACGCGAAGCTCATATCTCACGCGTGAAGATGTATGCGGAAGCGAGCTTTGAAGTCACAGAAGAAATCCTCGAACATGTTTCCGACCAAGGCATTATACAGAAGGTCAAATCCATCGCGGGACACAAGTTTGTCCCGGATGTGAGCGACTTCATGTTGGAAGTGTTTTGGGAAGGCTTTGAAGACATTTAATCATCTTGGGAGCCGCTCAAGAAGCTAATGCGCGAATGCCCAGCCGTGGTCAAAGCGTATGTGGCGACCAAGAAGGATGCTGAAGACCACGAAATACTGGCCAAGGCGATGAAGCGGGCAAGTGCGGCGCAGTAGCGAAGCAAAGACATATGTGTTCATGGCGACGACATGGCTTGGGGTGTGTGTTGCGGTCGGTAGCTGTCAGCCATGCCCCGCCATGATACACAGGGGTCCTCGATGGGGTCCCTTGGCGCCAATCCTGTGAACGATTGCGTTAGATACACTCTAGTAGTACTAGTAGTAGTATTAGGAGCTAGTTGAAGTGTCTGTTGGGAGTGGTCGCGTACAGTGCGGAGAGTCGAAAGCAGCGGTCCTACGAAGTTCTGCTGTTACCAGAACGATGTTGTTCCATTACATCAAAATGGTCAAGGAGCACGGAACGATCAAAAAAGACAAGCGTGGTCCAAAGCAAGTTCTCCCTGCCACGATCGAGGACGACATTGTTGAGTGGATCGCTGCAATGCAGCGCCGTGGATGGCATGTGGACCGCGATACAGTAATCAACAAGGCAAGCCACATACTATCGATCCAAGGTGGTGTTCCACGAAGCGTGACCCGCGGATGGTATCAGAAGTTTCGCACCCGAAATCCGATTCTGTCGTCGCGAATGGCACAGCTGCTGTCGAAGGGTCGCAACGCAGTGAACAAGGAAGGTATCATCTCGTTCTTTAATTCGTTAATTCGAGCTTGCGTTGGATTTGAATGTGACGCCAGCGATGTATACAACGTTGATGAAACGAGTTTTAAGACCAAGAACCAATCGAAGAAGGTTGTTGCGATTCGCGGGTCGAGAAGCGTGTGGGTCGAAGAAAAGGCAGAAGCATATCACCTCACTATCGTCATGACCGCAGCCGCTAACGGTGAACTCGTCCCGCCGGCCTTTATCTTACCCGGGGTGACCTGTGAAACGGGCGTGATGGATGCCTGTCCCGTAGATGGCGCGCTAGTCACAACAGCTCCCAAGGCCTTTATGAACGCAGCGATCTTCAATACCTGGCTTGTGTCATTTGGAGAGTGGAAACTCATCGCCCGTTGCGGTCGACCTGCTGTCCTCGTTCTAGACAACTGCTCGTCTCATCATTGCACCGAAAGTGAGTTCATTTGCGACAGCTATGGAATCGTGCTTGTGTTCCTACCACCGAATGCCACGCACTTGCTGCAGCCATTAGACGTTGCTGTTTTTCGGGCCTACAAGCGTGATATCAAGAATGCGGTGACTACGTACCTGCGTGCTTCCAACGCAACGTCGCTGCCACTGGCCAGGGCCATTGCAATTGCAGGAGCGGCGTTCAACCGACTTGTGTCTCGAAATGAAGAAGAAGGAACACGTCGTAAAGGGTTGCCTGGAATTGTCCAGAATGGTTTCCGTACCTGTGGTACATGGCCATTATCGCTCCCGGCGATGTTGAAACGACTGGCGCTGCAAGCCTCCAACGGCATCGATAGCGATCTAGGCGCGGCTGCGTGGATCAGAACGCATGAGGTCGTTCGTGAAGAGATTTTGACTGTACCCGCAAAAGTGAAGTCGAAGGCAAGAAAGCGTGTAGTTACCGACGAGGAGTGGTTTTCCAAGGCTGGTTTGCATGCTGCCGCCGCGATTCCTATGAAGAAGAAAAAGACAAAGTGAATTTTAATTGATGTGATGTATTATATTTGTGCATAATTTAATTATGCAAAGCAGTACAGTAGCAATTTAAGCAGTGATGAAATTCAAATACAATAATATTCCGAATTTTAATTCGTTCAATACAAAACGCAAGGTATATAGAACCGTACAGAAAATAGATTCACTCAGATAATCATGCCTTGTTTATCTTCCATATTATTATTTCATACAAATCACAAGTATTGATGAAAGTCAGCGATTTCGGGCTTAAAAAATGCTCCAGAAATTATATTTCCCGACCATAACCGCTGTTTTTAAAAATTCGACTGGATGGTCGAGCACTGGTCCGTCAAAATAGGTACCAAAATAGAACCAGAAACTGTTCAGAAAATCGATCCGTTACCTTAGTCATGTACTAGTACTACGGTTGGTAGTTTCGACATCAACGTTGACTGTAGTAAGCATCCATTCCGTCACCACGACCTTGCCCGCTTGAAAGGCATCAGCTACCATCGGACGACTCCAACGTGCCTCTGCATGGAGTAACGTAATGCCATACATACTACATACTAGTACGTCAAGGTCCTCAAAGGTAAACATCCAACCACGTGATATTAACGACACTCCTGAAGTAGAATTTATGCACTTGTGTGCACTTGAATTGGAGAAATGTAGATGGGCCACTGTCAACAACGTGACCCGTAAATAGTTCAATACTTGCTTCATTACAGAGATATACTTACTTCTCTTGTGTGTTTATGGCCCCCATACTAGTAAGAATTTCCATAAAGTCTTGATATTCGCAAACGCGTCCAGCTCGACTATCAACATATCACTATAACTCTTCGATAACGATCGCTCCATCCTACTACGTACTAATACAACGCAATACAACTTGCGCACTGCTAACGTGACATACCTAGTGCTATCAATGGCATTACCATTAGGACGCCTCACATTCCTTTTTGGCATGTGACGTGTACAGTACGATAGAGGAGGATTGGCACTTCGTGATTATCTTGAGATCTCATTTCATTGGATATGAAAATCGTAGGACCAGCTCCCTACGATTTCGTCAATTCACAAATGAATTGCGAAATTTTATGTTTGCTACAAATTCGTATATAACTTGGAAAAAAATGAGGTGGAGGATTTCGAAATGGCGAAATCGTAGGGGTGTACGCCTACGATTGCATACAAAAGTCAAGTTCTGGCCTACGAATTCCGTAGAATTTTGCATGCAAATTTGGTTGCAAACCCGGGCGAGTTTCTCCCCGGTTCACTGTACGCCATGTCTTTCTATAATGTACATTTGACGAAATTTGACCTATCACGGCGACCTCTGTGCCAAATCGAGAATGTCGATTGGCTGCCGAAAGGCTGTTATTTTAGTGAAGCGATTCGTTCATAAATGACAGAATAACATAAAAGTAGTCGCACCCACCTTGATCTGTTCAGCAGAAGTTTCCGCCAATTAAATGGATGTAGCGTACCATATTCAGCGTTTTAATTGTTAGATATCCGCCAATTACATCGATGTATTTGGACGAAACACCTGGTTATGCATGGTTGGCTGAATATATTTGTTACGTGGCTCTCATTGGCCAAACCAACCCATATGTGACAAATGTACACTATAAAAAGGACAAACCCAGGAAAACATTCAATAAATCTGGATACCGTTCAACCAAGACTGAAAACCATTCAAACTAATAAACTCTAGTTAGATAAGGCATATTTTTTGTATTCTGACCACCTCAAGTCCCAGGGTTACAGGGTTACGGGAAGAAAATTTGCTTGAACGGTTTTCAGTCTTGGCTGAACGGTATCCAGATTTCTTGAACGTTTTCCCATAGTTTCCCTATAAAAAGACAGGCTTAGTAGTAGTAGTGTGTGTGTATTATACCACCTATTCATGCTAACATGTTAAGTTTCAGAGTTTTCGGATGGACGCAACATGTGCGTAGATGATATACTGTGGAGACAACATAACGTAGATGGCCACTTTATAACGTTAGGACAGTTTAAAGTGCACACAAAATGACCACTAGAATTGCTTAAATTCATAAATAGCCAATCGAATCGCTAGAAATCCGAAATCACCAAAAAATAAGCAAAACCCGCATACAAACCACGTGCAAATATGCTTTTCCCTATTATATATCTAGGCGCGAAACTACATTTCAAAGTCTTCGTGGTGCACTTGAAATTTGCCGTGGGCGTTTGCGTCCACAGATCGAATCAAGCTCTTGGGGCCGCAGACGTACACGGCCACTGACCCCTGAGCCCCCGACTCGACGGTTTGGAAGATCTCAGACAAATCCGCGCGGCCAGATTGCACGTCGAAGTGCTTGGCGACGTCGTCGCTGTTCATGGCGACCTTGTCGTGATGGTCAATTACGTCGTCGCTTGCGGGGGCGAGTGTCTTGGGGAATTTCGTGACAAGAAGGG